CTATATTGAAAATTGATACACAATGATTTTTAAGGATGGACAGCTAGGTGGCCCAGTGAATAGAGGGCTGGTCCTGGAGTCAGGAAGACTTGTCTTTCTGAGTTCAAATGCATCCTCAGACACTTACTAGCTGTGTGACCCTGGGAAAGTCACTGAACCCTGTTTGCCTCAGTTCCCTTATCTGTAAAATGAGCTGGAGAAAGAAATGACAAACCATTCTAGTATCTTTGCCAAGAAAACCCCACGAAGTCAACAAAGGGGTCACGAAGATTGTGACATGACTGAAACAACTGAACAACAACAGTTTTTAAGGAAAAGAACCAGCAATTGGCAAGATCAGTACAGGCTTTATGTAGAAGGCATTGTATGAATCGAGCATTAAAGAAAACCAAGAATTCTAAGACATAGAGGCAGGGAGGGAGTGAATTCCAGGCCTTGGGGCCATCACTGCAAAAGCACATAGATGGGAGATGAAGTGTCATTTTTGAAGAATGGTAAAAGGATCAGTTGGCTAGACCATAATGTGCATGAAAAGAAGTATCATGCAATAATGATATAAAGAGTGATTGAGGTTAGGTTGTAAGCAAAGATCCTAGATAAAGTATCAGGGAGCCATTGATTTATTGAATTGAGGAGTAACATGGTTAGATCTGAGTGGGGCATGGTGGTGGTCCAGGCAAGAGATCATAAGGACCTGAAATGAAGCATTGATGTGGGGGGAGGGGAGGGAGGGAGGTGACAGACATGAGGAATGTACTGGTGCCAAGATTTGTCAACTAATTGGGCATGTATTATGAGTGAAAGGGAAGAGATGATGCCAAAGTTATAAACTTGGTTGACTGGGAAAATGGTGGTGCTTTCAGCAGAAAGAAAGAAGTTTGGTAGAATGGATGATTTAGAGGGAAAGATAATTCAGTTTTGGAGATATTGAGTTATTGATATGGAACTTAAGCTCAGGAGAGAGACTGAGACTGGATATTTATATCTGAAAGATATCAGCATAAAGATGATTATTAAGCTCTTGGGGGCTAATGAAACCTCTGAGAGATGGTGTAGGGAGAAGAGGGACTACAAGAGAGCCTTGAAATATGCCCACAGTTAGGGTCCTGGTGTTTTGGCAAACAAGACTAAGGACAAGCACATGAAAACAGAGACTATCTGCAGGGGTAGGGTGGTGACTATTGTACACTGTGGCAGAGAGGACAAGGAAAATAAGGACTGAGAACAGGCCATTAGATTTGACAATTAAATCAGTGGTTACTTTTGACAGATCAGTTCTAATTGAGTGATGAAGTCACAAATCATAATAGCAAAGGGCTGAAAAATAAGTGAGAAGATGGGAAGTGAAGGCAGCAAGTATGTGTTGCCTTTTCTAGGATTTTAGCTGAGAAAAGGAAAGAGTTGAAGGCAACAAATCTGTATCCAGGGGTGAGGAACTTGCAGCCTTGAGTCCACATGTGGCCCTGTAGGTCCTCAAGTGTGGCCCTTTGACTGAATCCAAACTTCACAGAACACATCCCTTTAATAAAAGAATTTGTTCTGTAAAACTTGGGCTCAGTCAAAAGGCTGCACCCGAGGACCTAGAAGGCCACATGTGGCCTCCAGGCCACAGGTTCTCCACCTCTGTATCTGCGTGAAGAAGAAAGGGAATGGGATCAGACAAGGAATTAGCCTTGAACAGAATAAGAGACGCGTCATCAGAGACTGGAATAAAGGGAAAGACAAGAGGAAATTATGTCAAGGGATTGTGAGATCGTGTTCTTTTCGTGAGTCTTCTTTATGACATTTCCCCCCCCAAATTCCTTTAGTTCTCATATTTTATGATCTTGAGAGCTTTTGCCATCCTGGTTACCCGACTTTGGATGCTCTCTAGCTTATATATGTTTATAAACATACTCCTGCTTCTCCAACCCCCTGACCCCACCAACCTTAAAAAAAAATTCACATGACCAGACCATCATCATTACATTTAATTTACACTTCATATCCCTTTTTGGCTAAACTCCTTGAGAAAGCTGTCTACAGTCAATTCCCCCACTCTTTTTGTTTAGGCATTCGGTCTCATTATTCACCTGAAACTTCTGTCTCCAAAGTTACCAGTGATCTCTTAATTTGTCAAACCTAATAGCCTTTTTTCAGTCCTCATCCTAATTAACTACTTTGAAGCCTTTGACATTATCTATTACCCTCTTCTCCTTGATACTCTCTTCTCTCTAGGTTTTTGCAACACTGCTCTTAACCTGATTGATTCCCCTCCTGCCTGTCTGACCCCTCTAGTCTTATTTGCAGGCTCTTCATAGACCTAGTCTAGATTATATCCACTAACTATAGGTATCTTCCTAAGGTCTGTCCATGGCACTTTTCTTCCTCTTTGCCATTTCACTTGGTGATCTCATCAGCTTCTATGGATTCATTTACTGTGCAGTTATCACATTAATTTATCCAGCCCTGACCTCTCTCCTGAGGTCTACTCTCATCTCCAGCTACCTGCTGGGCATCTTGAACTGCTGTCCCATAGACATCTTAAGCTTACCACATCCCAGTACCTACACTCACATGCATGCATGCACATACATCTCCCCTCATTCCATCACCATTCTACCAGTCATCTAGGCCTACAGTCTCAATATCATCTTTGATTCCTTACATTTACTCCGCATATCCATTCTGTTGTAGAATCCTGTAATTCCTACCTTCAAACATCTCTTAGACATGTCCTCTTCTCTCCACTCTCACAGCCAGCGTGCAGACTCTCATCATCTCACTTAGGGCCTGTCACAGTAACATTCTGGGCAGTCTCTGTGAATTAAGGTTTTTTCTGTTCTCTTCCATCTTCCACTCAATTGCCAAAGTGTTCTTTTTAAAGTGTAGGCCTTACTATGTCTTCCCCTACCCAATAAACTCCTTTGGCTGCCTGTAACTTCCAAGGTCAAAGAGGAAGTCTTAGTTTTGGCTTTTAAAGCTCTCTCTACCTTTCCAGTCTTCTTCCTCTTTTTTCTCTTCCACAAACTCTAGAACTCAGTGATGTTGGCTTTCTTGTCATTCTTCATGCATACTCATCTCCCTACTCTGTTCATCATTTCTCAAATCTCTTTCCTTCTCCTGCCTCTTAATTTACCTTGCTTCAAGTCTCAGTTCAGATCCCCCCAATACATAAGAGGTTTTTGTCAGTCTTCCCCAGTCTCCTCCGCACCTCCATGCTCCCACTAGTGCCTTTATTTTGAGATTACTCCTTACTTACACTGTATGTAACTTTTATACAACAATAGAATGTGAACTCCTTGAAGTGTTTTTCCTGTCTTTATATCCTGAATACTTACACAGTTCCTGGCACCTAGAGAGAACTTAATAAATGGCTGTTGACTTACTATAACTTTCCTTTAAAATGTGGTGCTCAAAATTGAACTTTTTGGATGTGGTTTTGCTATGGTTGATATATCTTAATCTTGCACGGTATATTTCTCTTAATTCAACCCTAGATTACTTTTACTCTGTGAGCTAAAATTTGTTGTGGAGTTTTCTACAAATTAGTTTCCAAACTTTCAGGAAGTATAAAAGTAACCAGGAATGGGTTGGTAAATGTTTAACAACTGACTCTCCAGGGTGGAAAATGTACACACGATATACTTTTAAGTTTAATCTGCATTAGTAACATTTTTTCCATCACTTTTTAAAATCTAGACGATCAACCAAACAATAAATCAAGCCCTGATTTATACTGTTTGCTGATTTCTGAAGTGTAAATATTCACATTGAAAGTTCGTTCTTTGGAGCTGGCTCTAGCACACCACTGAAAATAAACTTTTAAATACATTCCATTGAATTGCTGCCTTTTCATTTTGTAATTTATCATTACTTGCTATAGTTTGTAAAGACAATAATAATGTTGATAATAATAGCTAGCATGTTTATAGTATTACGGTGTTTTCAAATCACGTTATGTGTGTTATCTTATGTTATCATTTGATCCTTGTAACAACCCTGTAAATCCTCATTTTATAGGCGCAGAAACTGAGGTCAAGAGATTATGATTTGTTGAGTGTCATATAATTAATGTCTAAGAGAGGATTTGAATTCAAGCATTCCAGATTCCTAATCTAACACTCCACTATGTCACTTAGCTTCCTTTTCTTTTTTTTTTTTTAATTTCCTTTGCTAGGCAGTGGGGCTAAGTGACTTGCCCAGGGTCACACGGCTAGTAAGTGTCAAGTGTCTGAGGCCAGATTTGAACTCAGGTCCTTCTGATTCCAGGGCAAGTGCTCTATCCACTGCACTACCTAGCTGCCCCTGCTTCCTATTATTAATAGAAAATACTTTGATGTCTAATTGTATATGGCTCTAGACAATACCCAAAGTTCTCCATATTTGTTGTTCAGTAGATATGCAATAATGTTGCATACAATACAGTTATAATGCTTAACTTTAGCTTTAGCTAGTTAATGCAAAACAGATTTTTAAAAATAACATGAAAGTCCTATTGTTATCATAAGGTATTTGTCAGAGCATCATTTCTGTGTCATCACCAAGTTTTTTCTTTCAGTTCTCCTTAGGACTATCAGGATCAGATTTCTGAATGTTTAAATAGGTTCAATATTTAAGCAGAGAGGGGTGCTTGTTTACTATAGTTGTAAATACAAAATAATACAGATATGGTACTGGGTTTTTATTTTTGTTTTGTTTTTTAGTAAATCATGATTAAGGATTTACAGTGTTGAAATTTAGGTGAAAGTAAATAATTTGTATTGACTTATTCCTGATGTATTTATAAAATACTTTATTGTTTGGCTAATGGAAACTAGAATATCATAAGTATTAAGTTTGAGGGAAACTTAATAGTTTAATAAAAACTTAACAGCAGAGCCTATTATTGAAGGGAACGTGGAGACCTTGCATAAAATCAGAGGAAAAAAACAAGACTTCTGTGTCTGTTTTGTGTTGTGTACGTGTGATTTTTTTGTTTCCATCTCAGCATCATGATGTGTTTTTCTTTGTGTCAATAGGGAATAAACATGATGATGGCACACAGAGTGATTCAGAAAATGCTGGAGCACACAGGCATTGTAGCAAGCGAGCAGTTCTTGAGGAACATTTAAGGCGTCACCACTCAGAACAGAAAAGGCTACATCAGAAGGCCCAGTCTACAGAAAAACATCAAGAACAAGTTGTTGTAAGTCAAACTGCTTTTATGATTGAGTTCTTTGATGAAGACAATCCCAGAAAAAGACGGTCATATTCCTTCACTCAAAGTGCAGGAGTCTTGTGTCAGGAAACTCCTTATTCAACACCACATACAAAACTTGAGAAAGCAAAACCTACATCAGCAGATGCCAAAGTGGTTTCTTTTTCTTTACAGACTAGCTCTGTGCGCCACAGAGCAGCAGGGCATGGTGTTCCACATGGAAAACTATTAAAACAGAAATCAGAAGAGCCATCAGTGTCATTGCCCTTCCTACAGACGACATTGTTGAGAAGTTCAGGCAGTCTTGGGCATAGACCAAGCCAAGAGATGGATAAAAAGTTAAAAATTCAGCCTGCTTCTGCTGCTTCTGAAAAGGACAATGATGACGACCAAAGTGACAAGGGCACCTACACCATTGAACTGGAAAATCCCAATAGTGAAGAAGTAGAAGCTCGGAAAATGATTGACAAGGTACGCAACTGAAAATATGTAAATGAATTTTTTTAATTGTAGATTTTGGAATTACTGAAGTTAAATTAAGACAAAGTATTCACATTGTAGACTGCAGTATTGGTGCTTTATGTCCTGACAAACAGCTACAAAACTTGACGATGATTCTAGATTGAATTCTGATTTAGTTATACTTGTGAAGTTCTAGTAGCCTGAGTTTTCATATGTAAAATTATTTATTTAAGGTTAAATTATTGGAGCCTACGGTTGAACAGTGATGTAAATTGTGCTATTAGCCCCTGGGGCTAATAGTAATAATAGGGGATGCTAGTTTTATAAATACAGGAAACTCAGCCAATGATTTTTAAACATAAATTTATGCTTTCTGTTTTCAGCTGCTTTTTCTAGATCTTATTTTGTTTCTTTCCACTTACTGATGATGCTTTATGAGTTACAAAAAATCAATGATAATAATAATAATAATATCATCTAGCATATCTGTAGCACTTTAAGATTTGCAAAACATTTTACATATATTATCTCATTTGATCCTCACAAACCTATGAAATCTCTACTATTATTATACTTATTTAAAGGATGAGGAAACTGAAATTGAGAGAGATTAAAAGACTTGCTCAGGGTTACACAACCAGTTAAGTGTCTGAGGCAGGATATGAACCCAGATCTTCTTCACCACAAGTCTAGTACTCTATGCACTATGCCACCTAGCTACTTCTTTTGGCTAATTTTTTTTTTCAGGAACTCTAAGTACAGCTATAGAGGCTTCATAATTACTCATCGACTTCTTAGAATTACTTTTAAATGTTACTAATCTAGCCAAAGTACTTCCATTTTCTTTGTTCATTTCTTCTTTAATGTCTTGTATAAAGTTTAAAGAGAATGCAACAATCCTCTACTTATTGCTGTAATAGGAGGCTGAATTTAATACTAGGTCATCTTGAGCTGTTGATTTCATTATGAAGGGAATGTGAAGACACAAATGTTATCATGGAAATTGTTTATAGGACTGGAAAATGAGTCATGGTAGTCTAGGAGTTCTTTAAGGGGCAAATTATTATTTTCCTTCCAATTTATTTTGAGAAAACCCCCAATTTCTCTTTTTTATTTTTAGAAGGAAAACTTTGACTTATTAAAATATAATAAAGCACAAAATGGAATCCAAAAATCAGTAATTAAAGTTTGATAAGACACTTTGATGATATGCTGTACATTCTTATACTTCTTAAAAAGGTTAAATTTCAGTGTTGATATTTTCCTCTATAGCTATAATGAGTTAACTTAGTTAATTAAACTTTCTTCTTCAAAGACAAATATGAAACACCATTCTAAATACTTTGTGCTGTCTTATTTTTATAACTTTGAAACTGTCTTACCATTTTTGCTTCAAAGGTTTTAATTTTGCTTTTTCACACTGTCAAACTTCATTGTCATTTTTCTTGCTGCTAAAAACATTACTGTTTTCCTCCTGACCTAAATAATTTGCATGTTCCTGCATTTAAGAAAGAAGTAAACAAAATAAAGAATTTTCAAGCCATGGTAACAAGAAAGAGTGCAAACCAGTACATGTGATTCACTTAAGAAGTATAAAAATGATGCAGAGTTACAAATCAAGTAGTGATCTGATAGACCACATTTGAAATCATCATATACCAAGTAGTCTACCAGATAAAGAAATGGTATAATTTGTCTATAGTGTAAGAGCAAAACTTATGAGAAAGAGTAAAATTGGTAATTTTATCACAGGTTTAGAGTCATTAAAACTTAAAAACAAATACACAGAAGTCCAAATGGTTGTTTCTATATCACTTCAAATTTTTCTGAAGGAAAGATGAAAAATCAAGTGATTCTTGTTTTAAAATTTTAAATTACATTATTCTTTGTTTAGTAGTTTATATCCTTAACCAAAACATACTTTTTTTAGAAACTCACCTTTTTTTTCCTTTTTTATCTCAAGTCTTGGTTGAAAAATAAAGTGATAAGCAAAGAGAAGGACTAATATTCATATCATTAATGGGAGATTCATTCTGCTTAAGCTATTTAAAACAACATTCCTTTAGTTTTTCAGGATTTAGTTTTTCAAGATTTAGATCATGTAAATTTCTATGTTCTGTGGTTGGTTTAAAATTAGTTGGGTGCTGTTTGAATTGCTACTCTGCCATTTACTTCTCTGTGACCTTGGATAAATCATTTCTCTGTTACTCAGTTTCTCATCTACAAAACAAGGGAATTCAGTTGCCTTTAAGGTCCTTTCTGATTCTAAATCTATGCTCTGATGACTTGACTTTATTTGAATAAAAATTTGTTTTCACTTTTGGAGAAAGAAACTTTAAAGTACACGTGTATAGTGGGCAACTCTATTTTACACTTGGACTTGAGTTTATCTGTAAAATATGAGGTTGAACAAGATCATCTGTAAGGTCAACTTCCAGCTGTAACATTCTGTGGTTTTCAAAGAATATAGTAATTCTTCGTGAAACTTTTCCATCTTAAAATGGAATGAGGATGGAGCCTTATCTCCTCTTACGTGATCGATCTCTTCCTTGATGTTCTCACCACCTCTTGCTTGCTCCATTGCAGTGGGCTTCTTATTATTTTCTGTCTCCTCTAGTCCTACTCAACATAACTGCCAAGTGATTTTCCTTAGCTCAGTTCTAATCATGTCAATCCTCTACTCATTAAAATTTCATTGGTTCCCTATTGCCTCTGGGATAAAATATAAACTCTTCTGTTGGGTTTTTAAAGACCTTAACATATTGGCACTAATCTGTCTTTCCAGCTTCATCCCACATGACTCCTTTTTCTTCACTCTGTGTAGTCAACATTCTGCCCAGTACTGCCCATATGTCCCTGCCATTCTAAAAACTTTACAGTGGCTGTAAAAGTCTAAGGGAAAAAAATGACAATGAACAGCCATAAGAGGTCAGAAATCCCACCTTTCTGAAACTGCAATTCCTGACACTCTTGGTCCTAGATTATTCTTCTCAGACATTTTTCATTGGCTATGACAGTCCTGGGTTTTAGCTTTTTAGCATCCTAATACTACTTTCTCTTTAATGATATATCCCTCCTCAATTTCTGTTCGGAAATATCTTCTATCCTGGGCCTTATTCAATGTAAGTATCAGAAATACCAGTGGTTCTAGGCTTATAAAGTAGAATTCAGATTTTGCTTAGTTTTAAATTTCAGATTCTACCATGGGTAGTAATGTAGGAGAGAGTTGTCATTCCCAGATGCTGAAACATGTGTTAACCTGTAGAATTTTTTTGCCAGCTCCAAAACTTAAGTAGCTAAAATCCTTATTTCTTAAAATTTAAGAGCTTACTGACTCCTCCTTTTCTTGTTCCCAAGTGATTATCCTTTCTCCTCCCATCCCTACTCCACCCACAATTAGCTGAGAACCTAGGTCTTAGTCTCAGTAGGGCCGAACAGTCTGAGATGTATTCTACTCCCAGCTTTGCAACAAATTTAATAAATTTTTTTTTCATTTTTGTTTTAAACTGGAATAATGGCAGAGAAGAGAATAGAGCATACTAAGATCACTCAGTCTTTACATTGTAAGCATATTCTTAACTGTTAGTTAACACCTGCCTTTCTCATGTGAGTTTCTGATCCATTAACCAAGGACTAATCATATTATTGGAAGAATTGAATTATATAAATGATGACACTCCAATTATAAATGAAACCAGAAGAAAAAAGTAAGTTTCAGCTAAAAAAGAATGGCTTGCAAGTTCTCCTTGGAGGTGCAAACAAAGAGTTAGTGGAAAAAGTGCTCGTTTTTTGTTGCCATGGAGTATCCTCCTCCACAGTCCTGTACAAATAGGCTCTGCTCATGCCCTCTTCCCCCAAGCCAGGTTATCTGGGATCATCTGCAACAGCCTGTTGCCTGGCAGGGGCTGCTCAGGAGCTACCACTTAAGTTTTATATCATCATAAGAAGCAAGGACTAACAACATGGCAGTAATCCCACCCAGCACTTCACTTATGGCAACCTTTGACAACTGCAGAAGGTGCCTGAATTCCATTTCCAGCAACAGCTCCTGTGTAAGTGCTAAAGTGCTCTAGGGAAGTGATCTCCCACCATCTGGGTCTTCCAAAATCAGACCCAAGCCATTGGTAGACAAGCTTTTTCCTTTGGAAAGTCAGGTCATCTGTTCATGACAACTGTGTTGAGGCCACAAGCTCACTCAGGAACTTTCCAGGTTACTTATTACAAATCACCTGTGATCCACCTCAGGAGGCCATGGGAAAATAATATGTTGGTGATCCTGTCAAAGCAAGCCCTAGGTCTTCTGCATTAGCAGCAACCACCTGTGAAGTGCACTAGATGTCAGAGCTCATTTCTTCTTTCTTTGTTCCTTCTCCTTCCTACTCTTCCCCTTTCCTTTTCTTTTTATTCTCTCCCCACCTAATCCCTTAGATTAGACAGGCTACTTAAGCATATACATAATTATATTGTGTGTGTGTGTGTGTGTGTGTGTGTGTGTGTGTGTGTGTGTGTGTGTGTGTGTGTGTGTGTGTGTGTGTGTGTGTGTGTGTGTGTTTAAAGAAAACAAAAACAAAACACCAGGAAAAAAACAACCACTCTTTTTTAACTGTCCAAATCACCTATGTGCTCTCCAGCAAGATTAGTAACTTTGTTTACTTTCTAGTGAAAAGAAATTGAGTGGCCTTTTAAAAAAAAAGTTAGTGGAGTTGCTTTTGTCAGGTATCCAAAGTGAAATAGTAACACTATTTTCATAGAATATTTGGTTATTTTGTATTGCTGCAGTTAATAAGCATTAAAAAAAAAAGACCACTGTAAAACGAATTGTTTTTAATGTACCAGCATCTCTTGCTGAAGATGAAGAGATTGAGGAATTCTGCAGATAACTCGATAGGCCCTTATAAATGAAATCAACTTATGCTTTAACACTTGGTGGGAAATTAGACAGAAAAGCCAAAATACGTTGACAAGCAGGCTTGAGAAGTAAGGAATGACAGAAGTACTGACTTTCAAAG